AATGAGTGAGAATAGTTGTGACTTCCTTGTAATAAAGATAAATGGTCCCTTTGTATACAATCCCAAATTTTGACATAGTTTCTCTTTCTGAAAATCTAAAATTTTAGGTAGGTTCTCTCTCTAAAAATTTGATAAAATTTCTCTCTAAAACTTTTGAGAGACTCCTGTTATAAAAAAGTTTAGATAATTTCTCTTTCTAAAACTTGAAATTTGATATGGTTTCTTTTTCTAAAAATTTTAATATAGTTTCTCTTGAAAAATTTCAAATTTCAAGTTTCTAGAAAGAGTAACTATATTAAATATATGGAGGGTGTTTTCATATTAAAAATACTACTTTTTTACTTAGGATGGTGGATACAAAAATAAATGATATCAAAGTTAGAGATATGATTTGAAAAGTTTTGGGGGTGGGCATGCCCCAAAAGTGTAATTCATCGACAAACTACAAACTTAGTAAATAAATTGATTTGAGCTCAAAAAATTGGAGCAAAAGTCAGGACCAAAAATATGGATTACAAATTAAGAAAACAAATCATTCAAATTTCGAATTTGACCAAAAAATACCATAAAAAAAATTTAGATATGTATAGGTAGCTTTAAAAAGTGACAAATTTACAATTACTAGGGGGAATACAATAAAGTCATCGAATAATATGTTTTATATCATGAATGGGCAGCATTGAGGTCTTGGTTGACAATGTTTTTGTCTAAGTTTTCATTGAACACAAGAGCATGATATACTTATTTCATTGTCACCGCACAAAGCACAAAAATTCAAGATTTAAAATCAACGAAGAGAAAGAGAAAATTTAAGAAAGTTAAAAAGTGAGCACTAAAATAAGGAAGAAGTCATTTAAATGTTTTTGAAATTAGGTAAAATTCGCATTTATATATGTTTCATCAAGCAAATGTGATTTTTTTTAAGATCTTTGAAAAACCTCAAAAACAATTAACTGCAACTCAAAAAATTATCGATTTTTACATGACTAATTCACGCTAGAGAGATAATATCAATTGGAATCATCCAAGCTGACTCGAAACTGAGAGATCACGAGATATGACTATGACCGCAGTGACTGACCCCAGTTTAGAAAAAATCAATCGGTTCAATATAGTGAATCACGTAATTTTTTTTGTAAAAGATATATACAAAGACCTTTATCAATTAATTTCCTATTTCCACCTTTTTTTTTTTAAAACAAATTTTGAAAGCAAGCTTTCTTTGCTTTTTCTACAACATAAAACTTATATACTTCCCCCTATATAACGTCCATTCTGAATGGAGGGCTAAGATTGCTCCAATTACAATATCATGTCTCTATTATTTTATTTTTAAATTTTTTTCTATAAATTGTTTGACGCCAAATTTTAGACGACCAATCCTCTATTAAACTCCCACTAGCAAATATTATAAAAACAATATTTTCAATAAAATAAAATAATCAAAATACCCCTGAAAGATTCAAGGGGTATTTTGGTCATTATATTTAATCGAACAATTATTTTTAATATTTTTAATAGGTGTGCCCCAATGAGAAGGTGATACAGACCAATTTTTATAGTCATACAATTTGTATACAAAAAGCTAAAAATAAAATACTTTGAGACGTCAAATCTAATATCAAACGATGAGTGGCTTTCTTGATCAAAATTGGATGGCTGGATGGTAGGATAAGCATAGATCTTCTGTATTGTAGGGGAAGAATAGAAACATTTTTCTCTTTTGAAATCGTCTGATATTCATGTGATCAACTACTGTGTTGTTCTTTTTTTGCCCTAACAGCTCATATGCCACATTTTAATGCATTTGAGGCTCATTTTGAGTCATTTCACACCCCGAAAAAAAAAAAATGAATTCAACTATAGATCTACAAAATTTAAAGCTTCATTTTCGAATCAATGCCAAAAACATCAATTCCTGTTTTTAATGTTGAAGTCTGATCTCTCATATTTGGAGTTTTGATCACAATAACTATAAGTTTTAAAAAATTTCATCAAGTATATATACTAGAGAAATATTTCTATACTTCTTCCTACAACATAGAAGATCTATACTTCCCCTACCATCTAACCATCCAATTTCGATCAAGTGAGCCGCTCTCCACTTGATCTTAAATCTGATGATTCAGAGTATTTTACTTTTAATTTTTTTATACAAATTGTATGAATATAAAATTTGGTACTTTTCATTTTCTCATTAGGGCGCACCAATAAATAATATTTTAATAAAATATAATAACCAACATACCCCTCGAAACTTTCAAGAGTACTTTGGTCATTTTATTTTTCCGGGAATATTATGTTAATATTTTTTACAAGTGCATGTTTAATAGAGGATTAGAATAAAAAATTTAGTGTGAAAATAATTTGCATAAAAAATATTAAAAATAAAATAGTGTAGAGATATGACATTGTGATTAGGGCAATCTTAGCCCTCCATTCAGAGTGGACGATTGGATAAAAAGAACTATATAAGTTTTATATTATAGGGGAAACATAGAAACCTTGTCCTATATATTAATAGATTTCCTCACTGTCTAAAAATATATATATGTTTTTTAAAAATTAAGGAATATTTTAACAAAATGCATCTAAAAGATGAATTATTTAACACTTTACCTATTTAGTTATATTTAATTTCAAAAAAATGCACATTATCATGAGTTGGAATTGTTGAAAATTGGTAAAATGCTAAATATTTGATATGCTAGGTATATTATGATAAATTTTTCAAAAATCAATGATGATAGTTGTTATATTATTTTGAGCTGGCTTGCCGCAAATCGGTAAGTGCACTTGGATCGCCAATTAACCCTACCGACTTCTTTTTTACAAGGAGAAAGTCAATGCGAGTTGCCAAAACTTATATTATTGAAGAACGACCGGTGTTGGCAAAATCGAATTGGAATGGTTGACCGGACATGGGTTCGGAAGCGATTAGTTTGGCCAAATCGGTAAACCGACTGATTCAACCGTTATAACCTAGCAAGTTCTGAACGATAAAAAAAAGTGTTGAAAACAATAAAAAAGTTACAAAAAAAATCTACTAAACTATGAAAAGCATATAAAGGATGTGATTAAAACAAAACACACTCAATTGAAGTTGAAAATTAATGGAAAAAAATAGATTTTAATGAATCGATTTGTGCCTAGGAGTATTTTAAATGTTTTTTAAAAAGATGGGAAAATATAAAAGTGAGTATCAATGACCAAAATTTTTTTTAATCTTTACTAAAATAGTATTAAAGAATACTAAAATAGTGTTAAAAAAATCGACTTAAAGAAAATGAAGAAAAAATTAAGTTATATAATATAGGCTTTTCTTTTTATCAATTAAGTAGTAAATGGTGTATTGGTTAGTGGGTCTGATAAAAAAAGACTTCTTAAAGAGAAGATCTAGTTCGATTCCAATGGGCAAGTAATTTTAAAGAAAAACTTCTTAAAGAGAAGATCTAGTTCGATTCCAATGGGCAAGTAATTTTAAAGAAAACACACTGGCGGGCAGGATTCAAACCATGATTCATATAAAACTTAGTCATCAAAGCTAACCAATAAATCATTCTAATGTATTTGATATAAATTTGAAGTAGTATTTTATTTAAAATTTAAAATATCGGTTGATCACTAAAACCGCTCAAAATCGAAACTGGCCAGTTCCGATCTAGCCTCAAATGTGGCCAGTTCTGATCGAACCGGACGATTAGCAGCTAGATTGGCCGGTTTTGCGAATACTGAGAACGACACACTTCATAAACCTATAGAAGTTATGATACTGAAACCCCTCAATGGATCATCTCTGCTTTGAGAAGTATAGATATGGGAAAAAGAATTGATTTCGAAAATGGTGTATATTGTAGCGCATTATCTGGATGGTCCTTTTTAAAAATTTCAAGCATCTTAATTGTTTAATGTATATTTTTATACTATTATAAGGCCTTTTGGCATTGGAACTGCATCTTAGAGCAAAGTTTAGAAATGTGTCTTTCACTAAGGTGACGTCTAAATAATCAAAGTATGGTGCACATTTAAATAGTGTTGAAAGATGTTGTTTCAGCATTGAAAATCTTTGGGATGGCTTGAAAATCTATTTTCATCTCCGATTATAAAATTTAAAGCTTTAAAAATAGTGTAGATCGAGCATATCTAAGAACAATTGAAAATATTGAAATTGGGCAGGCCAAAAAATGCATTATAAGATGCCCTAATTCCGAGATTTAAATCCATTTTTTCTCATGTCCATACACCTTGAAGTTGAGATGATCGATTTGAGAATTTTAGGGCCTTGAAACAACCTCTTCTAGTGAATTTTTGATGTGAGCCTTAATTTCATTATTTAGGGGCCCCGCCCTTACACAAACTTTTTCCTTTT